AAGTTTCTTTTAGTTTTGGCCAGATCCCTCCATAAATTCCTTCTGTCAGCACAACCGTAAGGCGCATAAACGTTAACCACAATTAGGCTTTGGTTGTTCCACAAGAAATGAATGCCCAAGAAACCAACACCACAAAAGCTAGAAACAGCTGAGATTCTCGACCTATTCCACAAGATAAGGATTCCTCCATATCTGCCAGAAGAATTTAAAGCTGACCAATCCAAGTCGGTGTTCCTCCAAATGCTATGAGCGATACCATCCTCCATATGAGAAATTTTAGATTCCTAAATAAGGCATATGTCTGTGATTCCTCTCTGCACAGTTTGAGAAATTCTCTTTCTCTTCAAAGAACTGCAGCAACCTCGAACATTATAGGAAACAATATTCATTGACCACTAGTAGCTACAACCTTCTTGCCTAATCTAACAGCCTTGTCATCCCTATCCAGTTTCCTCAGAGTATGCCCAAGCCCGTTTTCATCATCTCCCTGGACCCCTAAATCCATCAGGTAATTTCTCAACTTGAACGGGACTTCGTCAATAGCCCTTCTACATCGCAGGTTTCCTCTTTCCGCATCTGTATCAGTAATAGATTCACCGCACAAAAAATCAGAGCAAGTCTCAAGAGATTTTCTATTCAACGAGTTCTTATTCCTTTCCTTCCTAGAAGAACCCCTCAGTAAAGCTCCTACATTCCCTTTAGAAGCCGTGAGGAGGAGAGTAGAGAAATAAGAGGGGGTGTATGGAATCTTAATGCAATTGTAAATCTCATGGAGAGGCTTTTTCTTTTTGGCTTTTCCTAAATTCGCAGGCCCAAGAAGTCCATCTGGAGGCCCAATAAGAGGTGAAGGCAGCCCCAGGTCCACAACTAAATCTCCATTTAGGGTTAGATTATCATTTTCCACTAAAATCTGGTTCAGTTTAAGGTCAACCGAGTGATTAGCAAAATTGGGGCCAACTGAACTAAAGTGATCAGCAGAGTTCCCAATGTGGCTCCCTCTAAGACCACCACCTGTAACACTCAACCCTAGAATGTCACCAACTACTGACACGATATCAGAAGAGGTATGATTATAGTATAAACCTAGGATTTCAATAGTTGGGGCTCTCACTTATGGTTCGTTGATTGATGCGCTAGATTCCCCACTCTTATCCTCTTTAAGCACCTCCCACGCGCCATCAATACTAACTTGTCTCTGTCAATCACCTCCTGATCCCAGGGACGAATCTCGTTGAACCAGACATCTAGCCATTCGCTAGAATCTTTGATGAACTCCTCAATGTCGCCACCAGAAGTGTCTTCCAATAGGCACATGGAGGCTCCCAAAGGAATTTCCTTAATGCTGAAGAAGCCTCCTTGATAATGACCTTTTGGATATTGAACGCGTTACCATCCTCCAAAACTACTCCCACTTTCATCCGTTTTAACTTAGATACCCATTCATCTTCCACATCAAGACTAGTGCAGGGACTGCCTCCCGAATCCTTTCCATCTGTCTTAGGATCAACCCCACTAACCACTTTGGCAAAAGACCTAGCAAAGGTGTCGAATTTCTTAAAGCTTCTTGGGCGTCCAGGTTTGTTTTGCTTCCTCACGTTCTCACCATCTGGGTTCGTCTTCTTATGTTCCATTCTAAAGTTGGGAATATGAGCAAACATCTTCTTGCCTTCTAGGACAACACTATCAAGATTACAAGCTAGGATTCGAGGGTCGTGAACTTTCCTGAATTTAGCGAACCCAAATCTTCTACCTCGCTTGTCACGCCTACCAGATATGAATACTTCTGAGATGACTCCATACACCTTGAAGACCTCGAACAAGTCTTTAGCATTCATCTTATCTGGAAATTCGGTAACGAAAAAAGACGTCGTAGGATCTCCACCCAAAGCTCCTTTCCCATTGTTCTCCTTCCAAACGAAAAAACCACCTCTATCTCCCTTCCTAATCTTACTAACTACCCTTGACCAGGCCATGAAATTTCCACAGTCCCAACCCAGATGATTACCGGGACTTACCAAGGCCCTTAAGCTCGAAAGCTAGGAATTTAAGCCGAAGATAACTCCTAATTTTCACTGGATCGAAGACATAGTTGCTCAGGTTTTTGTTGTTATACTACATCATCTCAATGCACCTACCCACCCACTTGTTTTTATTAAGGTGTGTTTTAGTAACATGCACCTAAAGGTGCATTTAAGGATTTTTTTAGTTAAAATTTATTAAAATAAACCTTAATAAAAATAAGTGGGTCTATGTTAACAAACTCATATATATATATATATATATATATATATATATATATATATATATATATATATATATATATATATATATATATATATATATATATATATATATATATATATATATATATATATATATATATATATATATATATATATATATATATATATATATATATATATATATATATATATATATATATATATATATATATATATATATATATATATATATATATATATATATATCGACTAATGAAAATTTAGAAGGGTATTTTTCATAGATACCATTAAATTATCTCATATCTTTTCTCAAATACAAACACACAAATAACTTAATAACTAATTGAGAATGCTATCAAGTTTCTCAATCAAGTGTAATATGAGTAGAAATGTAGTTTTCAAATGATGTAAAACTTATGTATAAGTGTTCCATTAACTGTATAAGTGTCTCATTAACTTTTCGACTTAACAATCAATTAAAGTATTAGATTTAAAACTCAAATAGGTCATAAAATCAAAGTGATAATTAAATATTATCAAAACATATTATTTAAAGTTAAACTTAATGAGTTTATTATTCCACTAGTCTTAAAGACGGCGTGTTTACATATTTTTAGAGAAGCTACAAATATCAATCGCATCAACAAAGTTGCCCATATACACACAAAAATTCATACATTCTTCATTGATATCTGGACATGATGCTCTCTGTCAATGCAATACCTCGAGAATTGTATTGGATCGATTGCTTCTCCTACGATTAATAAAATATTATCAAAAACTTAGATAAACTTGAATATATATATATATATATATATATATATATATATATATATATATATATATATATATATATATATATATATATATATATATATATATATATATATATATATATATATATATATATATATATATATATATATATATATATATATATATATATATATATATATATATATATATATATATATATATATATATATATATATATATATATATATATATATATATCAGATATGGACAATATTTTATGAATATTTTTTTAAAAAAATTATCACTAAATTAAAATGCTGAAATTTAAAAAATGAAAAAATGAAAATAAAATTTACAGAAAATACAAATACTAATTGCTAATTCATTTAATTAGGACTAAATACTATTTACAAAAGTTTATGTATGTGGAACAACTTGTTCATAATTTTTTTTTCAAGAATAAAAAAATGATGTCAGTTGCGGGTAAATTCTCGATGAACATTTTACATATATATTGATCAACAAACACATATAGTTACCTCACCAATCTTAATAATTCGAAATGTATGAAAGTGGTTTCAATTAAAAAATAATATATAAAAAATTAATTTATATTTTAAAAATAGAAATATAACAGTTTATTAAAAATCCTTGTGTTAAAGATTTTTATATACTTTAACATTTGATGAGAATATAGTCCAACCAAAAAGTGGTATTGCAAACATTATTTATTAATATTTTATTCTTATGATATTTCTTCCATATAGTAATTCATATAGAATATGTTTAAAAATGGAATAACATAAATATATTATGAATATGTTAAAATTAATATAATTAATATTTTTGGTGGAATATTACAACTTTTTCAAAACTATTAATAAAAAATTATTTTAAATTGCATGTGAATCTATAATTTTATATATTTGAGATTTAGATAATTCTATACATTTTAATAGATTTAAATGGACTTTTGATTTTTCTATTTTAAAATTTATCAAAAATTTTCATCTCATTTTAAAAATTAATTTTTTGATCTAAAATTTACTTTCGTTGTGATTTTGGTAGTCCCCTTCAATTTTGTATATATGTGACATTGATAATTAGATATAAAATTTATTTTTAAATGATGTGACAATGATGATTAAGATAAAAAATTAAAAAAAATGTTAATTAATATTTTTAATAATATTATTAATTATTTTATTTATTTAAAATTGAAAGAAAAAGGTTAAAATCGAAATAAATTATATCCACAACAATAGGAATAGCTATATTTGTTTTTCTATATAAACAAAACAAACTTGTATACGGTTCCAAAGTTATATCCCAACCATTTGTTAAAGTCAAAGAAACCAATGGTGAAAATTAAAATGTAACCAAATCTTTCGTAGTCTAAATATATCAAAACTCCATAATTAACACACACAAACAATTGGACCATGTCTCTTGCATGCTACTATATAAGACATGCTAGTACCCTATTGTTATTCACTCCAAGGGGAAGCAAAAACAACACAATAAATAAACATCAACAAAAATCATTAAAAAAATGACAAGATCATTCCCCTTGGTTGCTCTCATTGTCTTCGCTCTTTGCTTCACATCTGTCTTGGCTGTCCGTAAGGCGCCTAGGACGACCAATAAGGCTGAAAATTTCATTGTTATTGGCAAGATTTATTGTGATCCTTGCCACTTTGAATTTAAATCAAGGCTTAGCAAACCCCTTTCAAGTACAAATTTTTATCTCTATTTATATTTTTTTATATTTTAAATATGAGATGATTTTGATTTAAAAAGTTGTCTAAATTTTTTATCTAAGTAAATAATTTGAATTTGAATTATCTATTTTGATCGTTTCCGTGCGCAGATGTTAAGGTAATATTATCGTGCAGAAAGGAAGAGGGTAACAATGTGACAGTTGTGAAGGAGGCCATGACCAATGAAGAGGGTAACTACATAATCAAAGTTGATGGCGAACACGAGGAAGAAATTTGTGAGGTTTATCCTGACTCAAACGATGGTGAATGTTCTTTGCCTATGGCAAACAAATCCGACAGGGTTGGTCTCACAAAAGACATGGGCGTCTCTTCTTTGGTTCGTTACGTAAATCCCCTTGGTTTCATGACTAAATCAATTGATAGTCAATGTGGAAGCGTTGTCTCTGAATTGGGTTTGAACCAGCTTGATGATTAGATAAACCATTATTTCTCTGCAAAAATGTGTTGTTGGTTATTTGTAACTTTTCAAACACATGTTAATTGAATACTAAATGAGAATTTGGAGAAATTTTGGCATTTTATCTTTGAGAAATATTATTTTTAGTACTATTAACAATTGTGTGCATTGACAAAAAACCTAATAACTCCCCCTCACTAGTCACATAATAAAATTAAAATCAATGATATGCTATGTTAAGTTTATGTGTATCCTAAAATTTTAATTCAATTGACAAAAACCAAGATTGTTAGATTAAAAGCAACAATACAGTTTCACGATTTTGTGTTTTTAGTGATTATTACTGTTACATTTAATGAAAAAAAATAATTAATGTGTAATATAATAGATGATAATAAAATAATTTCATGTGAAAACTCTTAAGTGAAATAAACACAGGCTAAGACTTGTTGTTATGGTTTTGTTTTGGGATTTCCATATGAGGGAGACGAGTGACAAAATTGCTAGGGTTTCGTTTTGGGAGACGAGTAAAAAAACTGTTAGGGTTTTGTTTTGAGAGAGATGGTTGTTATGTACTGAAGAGATATATATTTTCGCTTATATAAAAATAAATATCACTTTTCATCACGGTCGGAAATAAAAATCGTGGTGATATACATGGTCTATAACATTTTTTATCACGAGAAATAACTAATTGTTGGTGATGGGATTCGAACCATTTCACTTCGCGTACTTTTCACTACGGTTGCTACTTCAGACCGTTGTGACATGTCATATAATAAATAAAAAATATATGCGTCAATGATAAATCTATTACCACGATTAACACTATGCCCGTCGTGATAGTGGAGTTACGAAGGGCTTATTTTATAGTAGTGATTGAATCTTTACTCAAGGAATTTTAATTACATACCTCTCGAGGCAGTGTTTACTAAATCTCTGGCCTGTGGTTTAGTAAATGAATCAAGCAAATTATAGCTTGATTGAATATATGTGAATGAAACTATTACACCCTTAATCAATTTTTTTACAAAAGAATGTCTAAGTCCTACTTGCCTGGACTTTCTGTTATACACTTTTTATATGTTCTAGGTAATGTGGCTTTACTACCACAATATATCAACACCTTGGAAACATTGTCATTAGCCAATGAAACTTCCAACATAAGGTCCCTCAATCATTCATCTTCTTCACAAGTGAAAGTAAGAGCCTCGAACTCTGATTATATGGTTGAGAGAGTGATCCACATTTGTTTCTTGCTCTTCCAAGAAATTGCACCCCCGACTAGTGTAAATATCCACCCAAATAAAGATTTATGATATTCAACACTTGATATCCAACTCACATTATTATATCCTTCTAATATGGAAGGAAATATACCATAATTAGATGAAAATATTTTTAGATAATCATGCATGATGATGCAAGAATGTTTTTAGATGAAATGAGAGAAAAATTTATGAGCAATTTAAAGTAGTATAGTATAAATTACAATGAGCACCTTATTTATGTTCACTTGTCTCGAATCTTCACTGAATTTCTATGATAGACCTTCTTGATCAACTTCATCATGGATGTGCATGACACTTTTGAACCTTTTCTTCTTTGGTAATCTTTGTCTTCATCAATATTGAATAGATATAAAATGTATTCCTCACATTCTTTCCATTTTGATGATGGTAAACTCTTTGAGTTCGTGTTTTGATAAAATTGAAAAGTCTTCCCCTATGTTATGTGTCTCCCTTTATTTGGTGAATCTTGGAATGAAATAGTCAAATATTTGTTGTCATTGTTTCGGTGCTTGTTTTAATCCATACAAAGGTTTAACAAACTTTCACACCTTTTGTTCATTACCAGGAAGTACATAATCTTCTTATTTCTCCATGTAAATCTCCTCAATGACGTGTTCATTTAGGAATGTCGTTTTGACATCTATTTGATGAATTATAAAGTTATGCAGAAAAGCTAATGCAAACAATGCTCTAATTTTTGTTGTGCTTGCTACTAGTGCATATGTGTCAAATGAAAAACACCTTTTTACAGAGTGTTACATGGTTAGATCTGATCATGTGTGTGTGTATAGGGTTTGCTAGCATAGACTTACTTGTTTTTATGAAAGTTTATTTTAGCAACATGCACCTTAGGATGCATTTACCCATTTTTTAGTTAAAGCTTTCTAAAACACACCTTAATAAAAACAAGTGGGTGCATTATAGCAAGTTTTGCTATAATACACCCACTTGTTTTTATTAAGGTGTGTTTTAGTAACATGCACCTAAAGGTGCATTTAAGGATTTTTTAGTAAAAGTTTATTAAAATAAACCTTTATAAAAACAAGTGGGTCTATGTTAAGAAACTCATATATATATATATATATATATATATATATATATATATATATATATATATATATATATATATATATATATATATATATATATATATATATATATATATATATATATATATATATATATATATATATATATATATATATATATATATATATATATATATATATATATATATATATATATATATATATATATATATATATATATATATATATATATATATATATATATTTATGAAAATTTAGAAGGGTATTTTCCATAGATACCATGAAATTATCGCATATATTTTCTCAAATACAAACACACACAAATAAATTAATAACTAATTGAGAATGCTATCAAGTGTAACATAAGTAGAGATGTAGTTTTAGAATGATGTAAAACTTATGTATAAGTGTCCCATTAACTTATCGACTTAACAATCAATTAAAGTATTAGATTTAAAACTCAAATAGATCATAAAATCAAAGTGATTATTAAATATTGTCAAAACATATTATTTAAAGTTTTTTTTGATAAGTAAGTATTATTAAACTGAGATTAAGAAGATCTCAAGTAAACAAGAAAACAACTACCACCAAAGTCAGGACTATTACAAAAAATCGAACGGGAATTTAAACCAATCGTACAGACTATAATGCTTACTTTCCTTCCTACCTAGAATCAACCAATTCCACGATGAAACTTTAATATCAAAAACAATATCGTCTACATTAATAGTTTCATTATTTCAAATAATGTTATTTCTAGCCCTCCATAAAATCCAACAAGAAATAAACCAAATTGAATTGATCTTATTCTCTTTGCACCGGCCCGAAATTCTCGAGTTCCATACCTTCGCATGAATTTAACAACTATCCTCCGAGATAAACCCTATATCTACCCAATCGCAGATCTTATTCCAAACCATCAAGGATTTAGAGCACGAGAAGAAGAGATGAGAAATGTCCTCGAAACTTGACGAACCGAGCGTACAATCCGTATATTGGGGATTAACAATCACCCTTCTTTTCAACAAGTTTGATTTAGTAGGCAGACTATCAAGCGCCATCCTCCAAATAAAAGTTTGAATTTTTGCCGGTAGCACCGTTTTTCAAAGGATCTCCAGTAGGATTGCGCTATCTCTTTGAAAATCACAAACAGAGGCAGAAGAAGTTAAAACGGAATAGAAAGAACTAACCTTGTACGAATAAGAATCATCAAGAAGCCATTTCCAATTATCAGCGACATTAATGTTAGTTGCAATCTGATCCAATAAAATGCTACACTCACTCCACTCTGGTTTGTTGATAGAGTTCCACGATACCCAAGAGATGATTTTTTTATTGGAATTCCCAGCCCAAAGAAAACGCCGTTGGATTGCAATAATATCGTTCACAATTTTCTTGGGAGCCTTAAAAAAAGCCAAGGAATGAATAGACATGTTAATTAAAACCGAGTTAATGAGGTATATTTTACCTCCCATCGACAGATTTCTCCCAGCCCAATTAGAAAGTTTGCTCCTCAACCGAGACAGAACCGGGTTCCAGAAGGATTACCGACGATGATTACCTCCTACCAAAAGACCAAGGAAGTTGAGAGGTAGCCTACCAGATTTACAGTGCAGAAAATCTCCAGCTGCTGCATGAAAAACAGATTATACACCTATCCCATAAAGACAGCTTTTTGAGAAATTAATCTTCAGACCAAAACTCAATTCAAACACAATAATCGCCTTGAAAGTCCAAATATTAGTAACCGATCCATCTCCTATAAGCAGAGTGTCATTGGCGAACTGAAGCAAGTTCACAGTGGCTTGATCATTGATCTTGAATTCTGATAACAAGTTACCGGCAGCCACAACTCTAACTAAACATGACAGACCTTCTACAACTATGGCGAATAGAAACAGCGCCAACGGATCGCCCTGCTTCAGCCCTCTACCAACCTTAAAATCCTTCGAAGGACTTTCGTTAATAAGAATCGAAACATAGCTATTAAAAACAGAGCCTCGAATCCATTTCATCCAATTAGAACCGAAACCCATCTTGACAAGTATATCGTCAAGGTAAGACCAGCCGACACAGTCATAGGCTTTAGCGAAGTCGACTTTGAAAAACAGACAGTCCTTGTTAAACCTCTTAGCATAGTCTGCTAATTCATTGGCCAACAGAACCCCCATCGTAAATTTGTCGTCCCGGGATGAAAGCTGTTTAGGACGAAGAAATAAGTTTGTGAATAACCTTGCTCAATCTGAAAGCTAGCATCTTAGAGATAACCTTAATAATATAGCTAACCAAAGTAATTGGTCTGAAGTCTTCAAACTGTTGAGGATTATTAATTTTCGGTACCAGCGATATGAACGATGAAACGAACATCTTAGGCAGAACTCCTGTCTTGAAGAATTTCAGGATGCAGTTCGTGAAGTCCTGACCAACAATATCCCAGCATGATTTTATAAATTTAAAATTAAAGCCATCGACACCAGGGCACTTGTTACCGTTGCATCTGAAGACGACCTTTCTCACATCAGATGAGTTGAAGTCTGCTTCAAGTAGACATTTGTCCTCCTCATCAAGACAGGTATCCAAAACAATTCACTTCTGACTTTAGCCGAATTATGCTGGCTATATTTACCCTTAAAAAACTTCGCCGCTTCGAACTTAATTTCCTCAGGTATATTTA